GAGACCTAGGCTCTCAACTTGACCATTGGTGAGCTCTTGCCGCTTAAATTCCTTGGTGTTCAGCTGGATAAGGATGAAAACTTTCAGCTTGACTTCTTACTAGATGAAAATAAGGCAGCAAGGGCTCAAGTGTGAATTCCATGGTGGTAGGCTCATAGGGAAGGGCAGGCATCGAGTGTCTCCCAGTAGGTGGGAGGGTCCCTCTGATATTGAGGTGGTTGTGAGACTTTCAGTTTCATGGTTGAAAAGGAAATTGCATGCAGGCAGTTCTCAGCTGCTTCTATCAGATATCCACAATCTAGAGAACTCTTTTTTTTCTAGAAGAGCTGAGACACACAGCATACTTTGCTCACTCTTTTGGAACATGAGCACTGAGGAATTCAGCTCAGTATGTTTGCCTCCCTTGGGGATAAATGAGGAAGGCACTGTTCTCTCTCAGAGTGTTTCTAGGCTCAGCTAAAAAAGTGAATGAACAAGATGATCTCTATTAGCTTTCCCCATGCTGGGGGACCAAGAAAGACATAGATAAATACAAGTGACTGGCAGATGCTATCAGAGAAGCATGTCAGTATCAAAAATTGCATCTTTCATTGACATACCAGCTGCTAGCCAGCGAATTGGGATGCAATGATAAGTTAATAGCAGTATGCTGCCTTTGGGCAAACTTCCCAGAATGAATAGAAGATGGTGAATGCTCTTTAGCATGTTTGAATGCCAGGCACTTTAATTACAGCGTAAATAATGATCATAGGGAAGCTAGGCCCTCATGGTGGTCCACTTCACCGCTCTGTGTGTGCATGTCCTTGTAGAGTGGTGGTGCTGTTGAGGGCAGACTACAAACTGCAGTGTTCCTCTAACCCAGCTTATCCAGCATCTAGCAGAGAAATGGCTGTATTTAGGGATTGCATGAAGAGTGTGGTTAACGATGATCAGGAACGACATTCTGGTTAGAAAAGATGCTGGATGCTAGACCAGGGATTCCCGTTTTCTGCAACAAACAATAAAAACATGTTGGGTACCAGTCGGGACTTTGAGCTTCAGGTGTACAGTGTCAAGGCACTGAGCTGATGACCTTGGTTCTTTCAGTTCTGAGGTTCAGCACAAAGTGTTCTCAACGTAACTTAGTACTGTTGAGGTCTTTTGTTTTTTGTTTTTTGCATTTGCCCCCTTAATTTTCACATCTAATTTTCAGTGTCTATAATGTGCTAACGGGCTTTCCTCCCATTAGAAAACACGAGTGAATGTGAGAATGTTCTTCTGGAGAAAAGGCAGTCTCTAGGGTTTCACTTCTGGCTGGAGGGGCCGATGAGGTAGGTGTGATGAAACCTCCCCCGCAGCAGGCTGGGGTGCCAGAGAGCCTAGGTGGGATCAGCAGGTCTCTTGCTGACTTTGGCAAGAGAGGGAGACACTCAGCCGCTTTGAGAGAAGAAGGTGAATTTCTCGATCCACTTGCAAATCAAGACAGAGGGTGCGTTTTCAGATCTGGGCATGTGTCCTCTCTGTTGGGACAAAGCCAGTCAAATTCACCTTTCTTGGCCAGATGACTGTTCATCACCTCAATTTGTGGGCATGCTCAAAGGTTTGTAAATGCACATGACAAAGGAAGAGAGCAGAAGGGCCCGATGGAGAGGTGCTGAGGGACACGTCCAGGACTGGGGATGACCACAAGTGTGTGGCCCTGGGCTAGGATTTCAAGAAGGTGTATGGAGGGGCTCAGCTGCTGGACATTTAAGCAGTGACCATCCTTGAAACGAGGAGCTTCTGCAAACAGACAAGCACGGAGAGCAAGCAGGCTGAGGTCAGCAATGCCCTTTTGAGGAGGGGGTTAGACCAAGCCCCTACACTACTCGCATTCTGTAACACTGTAATTCCATATAGCAAGATGCTTTCCATGCAGTTATCAAAGGAAAGATATATTTTAAAAATGCATTGTGGCCTGAGAATTAAATGACACGATTAAACACCACTGATTAAAATTCATCAGCAGGCATAATTTCTCAAGTCATAACAAACTCATGGCCTAAGTGAGAAGTTCTTATTCCTTTGGAAAATAGAATTAGCATAGTCAAAGCAGCAGAAAATTATCTCTGGCTGGTAGATTTATTTTGCATCATTCATCGCCTGTGAAATTAATGATTCCAAGACTTTTTGCTTGACAGTTAAAAGCAAGAGCCAATGCCTACTAGTGGTTTTCATGGCCCCAAGAACTACTTTAAATATATTATGTCTGCTATTTCCTTTAGTCTCTAGAAGAAATCCATGGGATGAGTTGCTGGTGATGATCAATTTGATATAGGAGGTTGAGGATTAAAAAGATTAAGAAAGGTGTTGGAGTGAATACTGGGTTGCGGGTACACCCAGTTGAGGTCTGTGAACCAACCCTCTCTCTTGCCCTCCTATTCTCTCAGAGGGCCAGAGGAACTGACTAAGTTGGACTGTGTCTATTGTACTTGGACAAAATTCATGGCGTGGCATTGTGGAAATCTGAATGAGGGGGCCTTAGTTTCTATTAAGTGTGTGCTTAACAGCGATATGGTATGTTCCACCTTTAAGAAAAACCACTGGCTTTCTCATACTGCTATTGGGAATTGAAGATGAAGCAAGATTTCCAGGATGATCACTCTACCTTTTGTGGGTAACAGCCACGCTGAAGCGAATAGTGAGTGCTGACTTTGTCAGACCCCATTCAGAGTCTCTTACACTCATTCATTCATTCATTCATTTAAATCTAGCAGCAACCCCATAGATAGGTACTAGTATTTCCCTTATGTTCTAGATGAGCATCTCAAGGTGAAGAGCATGTACAGAATCACAGCTAGGAAGTGACAGAGCATTTTGTTATTAGAAACTACTTCTCAGCACTGAATCACAGAAACTGGAAATCCATTAGGGTGGGAGGAGTCCATGGAACTTGACAGTGATCTGTGCCTACTGGAAATGCACATTGGAATTAGGTGATACAAGAGGTTGCTTGTGGTTGTTTTCTGACATGGTTTCTCCCTAAAGATGGGCAAGCGGTGCCTTACCCAGGAGTCCCAGCGTGGTCCTCTGTGGAGTGCCTGATTCATTCTCCTGCATTGCATTCTCATCTCTTTTCCCCATCCCATCAGAAAGTTTGATTATCTGGTACTTTTTTTTGGATTTTTAAAAAATTAATTACATTGCATTATGTGACACAGTTTCATAGGCTCTGGGATTCCCCCAACCCCTCCCCCTATGGTGGATTCCTCCACCTTGTTGCAGTATTATAGTTCAAATTCAGTCAAGATTCTTTCATTGCAAGCATATATTTGGTACTTTTTAAAATAAGAGTATGTTTGTGAGCTACTCAGTGTTTTGACAGTTGTGCTGTATCATTAGAACTTGCCAACGGGTGTTTATGATTGAATTAAGGGAAGAATTAAAGTAAACTGAAGCCGTGGTGTGTTGATTGGAGACAACCTCCATTCTTCAGTATGTTCTCCTGGTTCTCCACGATCCACTTCCCCTTGCCTCTCCAATCATGGCTACTGCTGTGAGCTTGTCCTTCCAGCTCCCCCAAGCCAGCAAAACATCCAGAGTTCCTAAAATACACTAGGCTGTTGAAATGGGCAACAGGTCTGCCCTTTCCCATATCACTCTGTCTTCGGTATTTTTCCAATATCCCAATCAGTGAAACACCTCTTCATTTTCAGCACTCAGCCAGCTTTCACCACCACTGTTAAAGCTTGTCTTGTCTGTTCCTCCTCCACCAATAATATCAACCAAATACTCTTTTGTATTCTTATTGTGTCCTGAACAGGTCTGTAACAACACCAAAGAGCCTTCTCAGTCCATCAATCTGCCAAGTAATCGTAGTGGCATTGGCTTATGATTTTCTGAAAACTTAATATGTATCAGGTTTATGATACTCATCACTATGCTACTGTGTCATTCATGAAGAGGCTTCAAAAAATTTGTGGAAAATGGAATTAAGAGATCAGTTTATTTTGATATGAACAATTTTGAAATCCAAATCTATAGAAAAATGCATAATATAAAGGCTTAGATTTCAATAGCATATTATGAAAAGATATTATACAAAGGCACCCCAACAAACTTATCTCAATTCCAATTGTCTATGTTTGAAATACACTGGTAGTTCTTTCAACTATACCCCAAAGCAGTTACTAGTCTCATTGTCAACATACAGAGGAAAAGAAGTTCAGAGAGATCAAGCAACTTTCCCCAAGTTCACAAGACTAGTGTTTATGTTTATTCAACTGTTAAATTTCTTGCAGGTGAGGGTTATTTGGAGATGGGACTCAATTGCAATAAATCAACAGCCCAAGCCTATTGTCCACTCCCGCCCCTTGAGCTTAACAGGGAGAAGGAGTAGCAGTGTGGTAGGAAGTAGTTAGATGCATTGGAACCACTAAAAACTCAGTTGGAAGGAGAACCTGAAACACTGCTGAAGAGAGGATGTGAACACTGGGCAGGCAGAGATGGCATTGTCTACCTTTCTCTGCAACAACTTTTTTTTTTTCTCTGTATCTTTGACACTAGCATGTGAGCAGGTGGTTCAAAAGGAGCCAAGGATTAATGAATGGATCCAACTGTTATTTCAGTCATGTTCCACATGTGAGAATGGTGTGATCGTGAAGGTTTTTGAAGGTGGAGAAAGTCCTGTGGAGGTTGGACTTAGGTTGGCTTGAGTGGCAGAGTGAATGTGGGATAGGAGAACATCTGTGCAGAGGGAGCCATCACAGCAACCCATGTCCCTGGACTACCTAACCTGGTTACCATGCACACAGTATTCTTGATTGCTATAATGTCTGCTTTACAGATTCCCCAACTGGGGAAGGACTCTCCTTATCCATCTAGTTCCAGGAAAGCCATAACAAGACTCTTACCAGTTGCCCACCTCTGCAACTGCTCAGAGACCCCCAATCTCTCTTGTTAACTTTCTTGATTTGCTCATGTAGTTCCTGAATGAGAGTCATGTGATGCTTGGGCTCACCCACCTGTGGTTTCCTTTACAGGTCAACATGTTTGTTGAAGGATTCCACGATGCCATCCTGCTCTACGTCCTGGCTTTACACGAAGTACTCAGAGCTGGTTACAGCAAGAAGGATGGAGGGAAAATCATCCAGCAGACTTGGAACAGAACATTTGAAGGTGGGGATTCAGACTGTAAGACCCACTGAGCTGCTTCTTCCCAGGTCCTGTGTTGTTTTTTTCCCTCCATTCCAGCTATGAGGCCTTTCCTGTTCAACTGTAAAGAAAAGATAATACATCAAGATCAACTCACTTTACACGCTTGTTGTGAGAATCTGATGATATAATGCTCGTGAAAAGTGTTTTGAAAGTCTCACTGAAACAGGAAATATTTCCTCTCCTTCTGGTGGTTTAGATAACAACTCTATGCTTTAAAAGATTTTTATTTATTTTGAAGTGCACAGTGATAAGAGAGACAGAGAGATCTTTCATCTATGCTCCACTCCCCAAATGGTCCAATGGCTGGGCTGCTCCAGACTGAAGCCAGGAGCCTGGAACTCCACCTTGGTCTCCCATTTGGGTGACAGGAGTTCAGGTACTGAAACCATCTTCTGTTGCTTTCCCAGACACATGAACATGGAGCTAAATTGGAAGCAGGGGAGCCAGGACTTGGACCAGCACTCTGATATGGGGTGCTGGTATTACAAGTGGAAGCCTAACTTACTACTCCATAGTGCAGGTCCAGACTCTAGGCTTCTGAAAATTACTCATAACACAGGGCTGGCATCGACAGACATCCCATATGGGTGCCAGTTTGTGTACTGACTGCTTCACTTCAGCTTTTGATCCCTGCTTATGGCCTGGGAAAGCAGTGGTGGATGGCTCAAATCCTTGGACACTTGTACCCTTGTGGGAGACCTAGAAGAAGCTCCTGGCTCCTGGTTTTGGATCAGCTCAGCTCTTTTGAGGTCTTTTGTGGAGTCAACCAGTGGATGGAAGATCTTTCTGTCTTGTCTTCTCTCTATATAAAATCTGCTTTTCAAATAAAAATAGCAGGAAGTTGGAATCAGGCACTGGAGAGGGAGAGTTCACTCCTACTGGGATGCCAGCATTTTAACTGCAAAGCCTGACAAACATTTGTAATGACAAAAACAAGGATTACCAAGTCGTGATATGGGGCCCATTCTTTCCCATTTGGATCTCATCCATGCACTGCCATGGCTTGTGTTCATGCTGTTGGAAAAGGTGGGATAGTGGGGAGGTGTTGGGTTCAAGCTGGAGCTGTCTGGGTAGTAGGTATGGCAGCATTGGTGGATTTCATTTATTCCTGATGGCTTTATATCTTCTCCAAAACCAGAGGTTGTCTCCTTTGATTTTAGATAGGATGCAGGACAAGGGCAATAAAATATCCAGGGTTGTCTGACTTGCCCTTTGGCTGCTTCAGCTGAGAAGCTGGAATCCAATAGAGCAATTCAAGGGGCATATTAGGACACAGTTAGGTTTCCCAGAAGTTGAGCACAATACACTGAGAAACTGGTGTGTGGACACAACCTTTGGTAGTCCATATCCTGCTCTCAGCTTTAAGTGCATGGTGTGGTGATTTGTTCTTGGTCATTTGACAGAGGGACAGGAGCCAGGGTTGGGGGACACAGGAGGGCAATGCTGAGGGAGAACAAGTATTCACAATAACCTGAATATTTAGAACCAGGTCATGGGCTAAGTTTTCTCATAGTCCATCTGGATGATTCCCTTTGAGGATCAGGTCTGCGCAGGCAACATGAAATGAGTCCCAAAACAATCAGCTGTAGAGTTCAGTCTAAAATTAGACTCTCATTTGTCCACATGGAGAGATCATTGAAACCAAGATGGGTTTTGGGCCTGAATTGTATGGAGAGCCCATTTTATTTGCCAAACAATCACCCATTTAAGAGTAGGCCCAAAAAGGACTCTAAAGGTCTCTATGTGAAGAAAAAAATTCCCTAACCTTCCTGAAATTAAAACCGATTTTAATTTTAATGACCACTGTAAGTGACCATTAAGTTGTTAAGGGAAAAACACTCTGGATGTTATTGGACAAATTTGGATGTTTATTGCCATGAAACCTGTGATCAACTCTCCAGTCTTCCAATAAATGGCTTGGGAAGAGGCAGAGCTTCCTCTGTGTGAGAGGTCAGGGTGACAAGGTAAATAGGCCTGCGGCTCAGACCTGGAGCTTTGCTACAGGCAAACAGAAAGGAGGGTAGACAATCTCATTACTTATGTACAGGGAAATTCTGCTGTGAGCCCCACAGTCTCACCTTATGGGTGATACTCACGGGTTAAGTCTCACTTGGCATTATCGGCCACCCTGAGGCATCTCACCCCATTTCTTGGCGGAATTGTAATAGCATAAAGATGTAATGAGGTCTTGGCTTACGAGGGCCAACTTGTCTTACACAGTTCTCTGCAAAAACACTTTGCCAGGCACGCCTTGGGAGTGAATAACAGATGGTATGGGAGAGGCCACGTGCTTAGAGACCAATTATTTTTTAAAGAAAATCATATTTGTCACTATAAGTTTTATATGTTGTCCAAGTATGCACATTTGAGATGTTTGTGTCTTTGTAACTATTTTTGTCTTCATACTAAGACCTGAAAATCAAGATGGATGGTAACTCCATTCTGTTTCCAGCAAAGAAGACCAAATTCTGGAAAAACCAGTGGGTCTTCAAACCACAACCCAAAGGACAGTAAACCCAAATACTGTCCTCTCCAGACCACACTGGATGATGGAACTTTCCCTTGGGATCCTTTCCCTAGACTTTCATTTGACTAGAGGAGTCAGGACTTCCGGAAAGGGCCAAGTCAGTAGAAACACCAGCTGAAAACAACACAGACTCTTCCACCATGTAAGAGGAGAGGACGCGAATCCTGTTTGTTCATTAGAATGTGGCTGTTGTCTGCATTCTCCTATTCAGTGACATATTTAATATTAGTCACTGATACATAGTTGCTTTAACTTAATGAATTACCCTAAGCCACCATGAATTATTTTCCCTAAGTCACCACGGCTGGCAAAAGCAAATTGGTTCCCAGCCTTACCTCTAGCTTTCTTCCTCTGTATACATGGATTGTAGCCGCAGAAATCTCAAAGTTCTAGTCCTTTTTGACTCTTGTGCTTCTCTAAAAATGGGACCACCCTCCCTGCCTAGAACATGCTTATTTCTTCATTCCCCCAGTGTGCCTTTCCCTGTTTTTAACTGATTCCTCTCTAATTCTCCAGTGGGATGAATTCTCCAGCCTCTGGGGGCTGTGGGCATGGCCTGGTGTTCTCAAGTGCAGCAATAAGAAGAGTAACTGCAAAGAATAGTTGTTGTGCATTCCTAATCTGAAGATCCAAAATCCAGAATCCGAAATGCTCTGCAGTCTTGAGACAGCTTGTGGCTCTATGTGGAACATTCCATATCATGAAGCTTTCATGCAGATAGTTATTAAAATTACCATTTGAAGTTAACTTTAGGGTGTGAGTATAAGGTATACATGGAATTTCATGTTTTGACTTGGGTCCTGCCCCCAGGAAAATCTCATTATATCTATATCCAAAAAACTTCAAACATCTCAAACACTCTAGTTCACACATTTCTGTTCAGGGATACTCAACTTGTGGAAGAAAACAACCAGCTTCTCTTAGGCAGGTGTTGAAAGTGCTTGACCTGCTTTATCTCATTGAACGAGCCCCACAGCCTCCAGCTTTTCAGGGGTGGAAGCTGAGGCTTGCAGAGCTACCTAGCCCCTTGCCCAAGGTCATGAAGCTGGTATGAGTAAAACTCTGGGATTCAAATGGAAGCAGTTAGATTCTGGTGGGAACACACCGATTTCTTAGTCCAGGCTACTCCTCCCTTGAGTGGAGAGAGTGCTTGAGTCATCTTAGTGTCATCTGTAGCACTAATTCATCAAGCAGTCATCTTCCGGATCACATCACTAGTGAATGAAAACGACCCTGAGAAAAACAGAAGAGGCAGTCTCTAGCTATTGGCTCCAGCAACCTATGGAGCAGGCTGGGTGTTAAAGCGCACACTATGTGGTGTGTCCACTGAGCACGGGGGCCTGGGATGAGCTTCTTTTTGTCCAGGGACAATGCAAACCCATGGCAAGTGTGTGAATGCGCTGTACTTGTCTTTCTTACTCTGTAGGGTAAGAAAAATAAACACAAAATTCTAGGATAAGTAGACTGCATCCAAGAAGAACTTTAATTTTTAATTTTTTTGAAAACATATTCCCCAAAGATGACTCATTATTTTTTTTTTAAATGGAATGCAATGCTAAGAATTTAGGAATGCAGATGGAATTACAATGTCTTTCCAAATGCCAACAAGAATGTTCACAAATGATGAGATGCCCTGTGGGAGGAGTTTTTTTTTCTTTTTTTTAAATCCTGTCAATTCATGTTCTTGTTTTCATGGGCAGGTGGACGTATTCCAAGTCACTAACTTGGAGCTCCTACCCTCTCGTCCTCTAGGGATTGCCGGGCAGGTGTCCATAGATGCCAATGGAGACCGATACGGGGACTTCTCTGTGATTGCTATGACTGACATGGAAGCAGGCACCCAGGAGGTGAGTGGGCCGCCGCTCTGCACCACTTGCTCCTTCTGTCTGTCTGTTTGGACTCTGAGAATGTAGTTGCTCTTTTGTCTGAAGACCTATCCCCTTTAAACAAAAACGAGTTGAAAATATGGGGGAAGGGTGGGGGAGTGAGGAGGGATTCTAGGAGATGACTCCCTTTTGGTTGAGGAAAGTCTTCAGGAAAGGATTCCATGTTTATTCTGAGCAGGGAGACCTATGTGGTATACACCAGGCATCACACCTCACTCTGTAGGAGGCTTGGTGGAGACCAGGGGTGGAGTGCACTGGTACCTCTTCCGGGACACTTATTTTATTTTTGGTGGGTGGATGTTTTCAAACTGAGCGCGTGTAAGTCTTTCAAATCATGGCTTGTTTCAGGGTAGCAAGACAGAAGAATGTTCTGGCTGCAAAGAGGAGGCTCCAAGGCTTATGGGGGTGGGTGGTCTCCTTGTAACATGTAAATTGTATCAACGAATCATTATGTGTTTCTTGCTGATGTCACATGACAGCCGTAAGGACCAGAGAAAATATCTAGAGAAGTGCCACATAAACTTCAAATGATAAATACACATGTATATACTAAAGCTATATCAATATGGAATCTATATGCACAAATGTACAAATATATATATTTGTATACATTATATTAATATCACACAGTCAACATACATATTACATAAATATGTGCATGGATTACATGACACATGCATATGTCATTTGCATGAATATGTGTGCATACACATATGCTATCTATGTATATACACAAGCATGCAGTGTTTCAGCATATCGTGCCCCGAGGGCCCAGGGTCCTGCTTCTGCTTACCTGTTGTGGGCTCCAACATGTGAGCCTTGCTGTCTTCCTCTTCGTTGCCTCATGCCTGCCTCTGTGGGAGAACCCAGACTACCCAGGCTCCCTTGTTGTGTTTCTGGAATGATTCCCATCTCCTCCCCTTTGCGGAGTTTCCTCTATGTTCCAGTCTCCTCGCTAGGAGAAGGTGGGGGGTGATGGTCTGTCACGGTCCATTGTGAGGCTATATAGAACACTTTGTACTTGGTTGGTGTCTGCCAGTGACTGTTATCTTGCTCGGATCTAGAATTCTTCTCATTGTGACCTGACAGACCTGTGAGATCGGCCTGGACCTCTAACAGGAGAAAGAGAGAATGAGGGAGAGGCCGCAGGGTACCCAGGAGCTGGGCGTGCTTGTCCAGACAAAAGAGAAAAAATTCCTGAGAAGCTGGTTTCTTTTAGAAGGTTCTTCCAGATACGGGTTTGAACAGTTGATTCAGCAGTCATTTTAACCAGAAACTGAGGGGTGACCCTGGGCCTGAGCCTTTAAAGACTAATTATTCCATGCATCCAAGGAGCTAATGGAAGGAAAGAATTCAACCCAGAAGAGGGGTGAGAATCAGTGAGTTCCCCAGCGGCAGACTGGAACTAGGGCCAGGGAAGGTCACCTCTTGGAGACAGGTTGTCCTTGAAGCCTTGGGGTATTCTCATGCATGCCGAGTTGATTCAGGTGTGGGACTGGGTATCCATAGCTGCTCAAGGGTGTTCTGTGGGCCCTGGGTCTCCTTCACTGTCCTCATATGTCCGCTGAGTCTTACTGATCTAGAGATCATGAGGGCTGCTCTGGGCAGATGGTTGAGAGAGCGCTCTGTCCATTGAGCCATAACTTTAAGCTCGTTGATTTTGTAGGAAAAAAAAATCTCTCTGTCCTTGCAACAAAAGGATATCCAGGGGGGATGCTGGTGGGAGCCCTGTTCATGGTGACTCCACTTTCACCTGTCCACATCATCCACACCACAGGCCACTTGGCCTGCCAGGAGGACCCACTGTTCTCACTTACCTATGTCCATCTAGAGACATGCTTAGTGAATTCAGGTTACTACATTCTCAGGAACACATCATTACAGTTATTGTGTGCAGCAGGAAAGCCTCCCTGGGCCCCTTGTGGTCCCTGCCCCGGGAGGTAAATTGGTGCAGTCTGGTCCATCTGGCAGCCGTATAGCTCTGGTTGAGCCTTTGAGGAAGAGTTGCATAGACTGTGCGAACAGTCAACTTCACCCTTACAGCTTGTGTGTGTGTGTACATTTGTTAATTTTTTTTGCCTTCCTCTAGGTTATTGGAGATTACTTTGGAAAAGAAGGTCGTTTTGAAATGCGGCCGAATGTCAAATATCCCTGGGGACCTTTGAAATTGAGAATAGATGAAACCAGACTTGTGGAGCACACGAACAGCTCTCCTTGCAAATCATGTAAGTTCAGAGACTTAATTTGCTCTGCGTTTTCTCATCTCAAGTCTCAGGACAATGTGAGTTAACACACGAGTGTCCTCCAGGAACTTGTGAGCTGGATGGTCACGCTCCTTAGACCAAGGCGACAACAACCCACAGCCTCGCATTCCCCCTATACCGCAGCCCTCAGCCCCCGGGTCTTCCCTCCTCTCTATTCTCTCCAAATGGTAGAAAGCTTCACTCTTGTTTTACATTCTTTCCTGTTGTCTCTTAGTTGTTTGGGTCTCTACTTTTAGGGAAAGTCAAAAGACCCATGACTAAATGTTCCTTCACCTTCTCGGTTCTTGTAGGGGATCTCATCTGCAAAGTTCTCAATTATCCTCCAAAGCCTCAGAACAGAGAATACCACCTGAAATACCTGAACACTTACAAACTGGCAAAGAAAAAGAAAGTTACATTAGTAGGAACAATCTCACACATAGAGAAGCAGGTGGACATTTTTAAAAAGATGATTTAAAAGGTGGAGTAGGGGAGAGAGAGAGAGAGAGATCCACTGGTGCATGCCCCCACACCCACAGCAGCTGGGCCGAGGCCAGGCGGAAACCAGGAGCCAGGAACTCCTTCTGGGTCTCCCATGTGCGTGAAAGGATCTCAACACTGGAGGCATCGTCCACTTCCTCCTGCCAGGTGTGTCTGCATGAGCATGCATCAGAAGCACAGAGTAGCAGCTACCAACCCTGGCATCCTGATAGATGGTATGGCTGTCTTAAGTAATGCCCTGGAAGTGGACATTCTCAAAAGCTGCTTCCAAATTGGAAGATTGTTAGAAACCACTGATTTAGTGAAGAATTTTTCTAACTAGAAGGGATTGCACTGTGAGTATCAACCATCCAGGCTTGCTGCTAATACTCAGGCAGATGTGTTTTATGTAAGTGGGCATCCTCTTTCTTTTTTTTTAAATATATATTTATTTTTTTAATTGTTATTAACATTGTATCATGTGATACAGTTTTATAGGCACTGGGATTCCCCCCACCCCTCCCACAATCCTCCCCCCATAGTGGATTCCTCCACCTTGCTGCATAACCACAGTTCAAGTTCAGTTGAGATTCCTTCATGAGCATCCTCTTTCAAATGCTTCTTTCCATGCAGTAGTTATAGCAAGGAAGGAGCTGGCGTAAAGAACATAGTCCCTGTAGGTTCCAGCCTGGATTGGAAACCTCATCCCGTTTGTCACTGGCTAGTTTTGTCACCTAGGAGGGTTACTTCCTTAGGCCTCGGTTTCCCCATATGTAAGATGAAAGAATTCTTGGGGCTGTTTTGAGTATTAAAGGAAATAATGCATCGACGGCCATTTGCTTTATGCATTAGCTAGCTGTTTAATCCTTCTTATGAATCTAGGACACGACTGAAGTTGAGCATTTCACATTGATCTTCCTATTTTCCATGAAACTATGTAGGACATTTTAATGTGAACTTTGGCTTTGGTGAGAGAATGTCCAAAACCGGAACACTGCCCCAAGGACTTTTTCACCAAATCCAGCATGTGGAAGTGTCACATCCATCTGTGAAAATAAAGTGCCAGATGAAGAACGTGGACCCTCTGTTTTCCTTGGTTATAAACTCGCAAGAGTAGATGGATCTGTAATCTTGTTTGCATTCTTTCCCTCAGATTACTCTTTTTCAAAAAAAGATTAATGTTCTTGAAAGTCACAATTACAGAGAGCAAGAGAGAGAGAGAGAGAGAGAGAGAGAGAGAAATCTAATCTGTTGATTCACTCCCCTTCCATGGCTGCAGTGTCTGGAGCTTGGTCAATTGGAAGGCTGGAAGCAGCAGCCTCTTCCAAGGTCTCCCCATGAGTGCAGAAGCCTAAGCACTTAGACCACCTTTGCTGTACAGGCTGTGGACCAGAACCACATGGGTTGCTGGAAGTGGCTTTCCAAGCTATGCTACAACACTGCTCTTCTCCCCTCCTCCACAAATCCCTCTTAAATCTGGTGTTTTCCCTATTGTGTCCACTCTCTTGTAATCACTTTTCTAATACTTTCTCAAAGGCTTCTTTAGCTTTGCACTTGGCTAAGAAATATATAAATACAAGACATCCTAGAATACCTTTCTAAAAACAGAAAAAAATTGCCTCAACCAGGACTTAGAAACACCTTTCTGTGAATGAAAGATGAGATATTTCCAGCTCTTTCTCAAAATGAACCCTGATGTCTGCTTTTTCCCAAGCAGGTGGTCTAGAGGAGTCTGCTGTGACGGGCATTGTTGTTGGGGCCCTGCTAGGAGCAGGCTTGCTAATGGCCTTCTACTTTTTCAGGTGAGAATTGTTCATACGGTTCATGTTCCTTTACTACCTTTGTCACTTCTGTGTGCAGGACCCTCTCTGTGACTTCTTCACATTTTTATTTTACCTAGGAAGTGTGGTGGTTAAAAGATGTAAGCCATTCTTGGGGTGTGTTCCTGGACTTGGTGGTCAGTGAGTTAGCAGTGTTGGCTATGAGAGTAACGATTTCCAGTGTGACACCCTACAGGACATTGGCATCCTCTGTTCACAGATACCCCAAAAGCAATTCCTACCACTCACAAATAAATGCAGAAGCGGAGAAGAAATAGACTTTGGGGGTGAGGGTGGAAATCTACTTTCTTATTCTCAGGCTTCTCATAGTTCAGGAATAAGGGTCTGGGTTCACCTTTTCAGGGGGGGAATTACCTATGCTCTCAGGCTGGACGTTGTATTTAGAAGACCGATGAACTTAACTGTCCCTATGGGCTGGTCTCCAGAGTCATGCAGTTCTAATCAGTGTACCTGTATAAACAGTGATGATTGGTCCTATACTCCGAGAGCAGGCCCTTTTTTGTACTTTTTGGTGACTGGGTTTGTGACTTACAGATCATTCAATTCTGGGTGTGTGTGATTCCTTGTGGGAACAATTGTACTCATCTAGTCACAGGACAGTTAATCTGATCTTTATCTAGGGCATTTCCTGGGAGTCAGGGAGCATGTGTGTGGCACAATTGACAAGACTTAACTCACAAAGACACCCAGGGAAAAAGGAGAAGTTTTGTTCTATGGCGTTTTGGAAAGCATGCCAATTTTCCCCCTTGAGAGAGGGCATAGTGCCTAGGGGCACACTACTTTAATCTTTGACCAGGGTTTTATATTCTGTCACTTCTCATTTGTCAGACCAAACCCAGATGTCCCTTGAGGGCATTCTTTGTAAGAGAAACCATAGTATTTTGTAACCAAGTGAGGTTTTATTTCTATATTCACTTTCCCTTTACCCAGGAAGAAATACAGAATAACCATTGAGAGACGAAACCAGCAAGAAGAAAGTAACGTTGGAAAACATCGGGAGTTAAGGGAAGATTCCATCAGATCCCATTTTTCAGTGGCTTAAGAGAAGCTATATAAGAAGCCTAAATAAATATTTTTTTTTTTCATTCTGCCTGAGATTCCTTAAGATGGAATGAAAGACATCAGTGAAGCCGAAGGATTGCTCTTTTAAGCAGCATTTCGTTTTCAACATTTTGAAGAAGCTCAGGAACTGTTCTGCATCACCATCTGCCTCTCGGCTTTTCATCTCACGACAAATATAAGGATATGATGTCACTCTGTTAAGTGTTTAAGCTGCTTCAAGGGCATAGAATTGGATTTCTGTTGTACAAATCTGATGTCTCCGTATCTTGATGGCTCTTGGGGACATTTCACACAAGGACATAAAATGTGATTTTCCTAAATGATCATGTTCTGTAGCTAGAATAAAGATCATTTTTATAAGTAGAATATCTTTGGACAGGATTTGACACCCAAGAAGAAGGGAATGGAATGGGAAGGTCTCAAATAGAGCACGGCTGTCTCGAGCTGGTAGAAAGAGGGATGGTGGAGGGCTGCTGTGTCCGATGTCTACATTCAGGTTCTGACTTCGAATCTTGAAAAGGGGTTTTTTTCCTTGTCTCAGTGTCTCGTAAAAGCTACTCTGGACAGTTGTAAATATTAGTGATGTAGGAGGATTTATATAAGAAAAACAAATCTGAATTTTGTGTGTGTTTGTGTGTAAAAAGCCTTATTTCACACTAACATTTTATTTTTAAGTATGTTAATCTTATATTTTGATATTAGAAAATGTGTCTATTTTTTCATTTTGAAGATTAAATTTCACTTATATTTTAAAAACTTGGGTCAAGTGTACAACAAACCAGTAAATGATGGAAGATATCTCTTTTTCTCTCTGTTTCTCTCTTCCCCTGGTCATAGCCAAATGCTAACTGCTACTTTAACTACAAAGATATGGAAATGTATTTAGATTATAGACTCTATAAGAATGCAGCCATTTAAAACCATTTTATGTTTGAACCATTTAAAATGCAAACTATTGTAGGGCTGCACTCATTCCAGTTCTGGCCAGATAATGAGTTTTAAGATCAAGAAGCATAAATTATTAGAATTAGGCAGAGTTTTAAAAGGAGGTAGCCCTTTCCCCCTGAGAACAACTTTAGAGAGAGCTAGAATTTGTCAATAAGACTGAAATGGCAAATTGAAAAAATATATACTTGGTACTTACCAGAACTCACAGTGACATTTGTTTTTTTTTCCTCTTTAATAATATTTTTGTTTTCAGGGTGTGGGGGTAGGCTATGTATCTCCTTTGTGAGTATTCATTTCCAGTCAACCCTGTAGAATTTGGGGGTCACCCACCAATAATCTGTAACAGAGGCTCAGGGTGTGGGTGTAAGGATTTGGGACAATTTTGAATAGGGATTTCCTGGAGGACTACTTTGCACACAGTACTCTGCACATGGGTTTATATGCAGGTTGTCGTTTTTCACTTAGAGCTTTGGAGAAAATCGACAACAAGGAAAGAAAAGGAAATATCACATAAGTGTGCCACCTTGTCATTCTGTGATTAGGAGATGTCCTCAACATTTTGAGCCTTTGAAAAGCATTTTTGAAAAGGGTCTTAATATCTAGAAAAGAGAGAACAAGACACAAGGGAGTTGGAGCATGGAGGTTGGGGAGGAAAAGAGTGGCTGCTCCATGTGCTGGACCTCGCCTGATTTGGCTTTCCCGGAGGGCTATGCCTGAGCCCACTGCCTTCAGAGGGATGAGGGCACGACAGAATGGGAGGACAGGCTGGAAGAACGAACTGTGATGAACCGAAACAGCAGTGCTGCAGTATGTCACGCTAGAGGCAAAGGAAAGAGTGCTGGACTAAAAAAGAGGATGGAAAAGAAGGCAAGAAAGATAGTGATGCTACATCCTAATGGGGGAAGAGAGTTGGTAATTAAAATCCAGGACAACAAAGTATTTGATGGCTGGGATTCCCTCCAATGAAAGCAAAATGGAAGGAGTGGCATATTATCGGTCATTGGCACTGGAGAGGCTATTTTTCTCTCATTCAAATTCCTCATGATATGTTCTGTCTCCTTTAGAGATAACAATTTTTTATTGTGCCTATATCCTGAATTTTGGGGAGGGGTGGAGAACACTTTGGGTTCTGGACTTGTTCAGTCATTCTAGAATTTACATGATGGTCCACTAGCAAACTAGAGGACATACCATTTACTTTTATTGAAGGCCAAGGAATAATTCTAAGCTTAATATTATATCTCTAGATAAGATCTTAAAGAAAGGTAAGAATTTATTCTTGTAAAAATCACAGTTTCTTGGTTTTGGATGCCATCTTCTTCCTATTTTAAGGCAAATTTAACTGATTTTAAATGTTGATTTACACATCTATCATATATTCTTTATATATATTCTTGAAATCTTGATATGGTCAACAAAATGCCAAACAGTTTTGATAATTTCATAAAGTTGGGGAAAATACTGCCAAAAGTTTAGGTGTTGGCCCCAAGTTCACTCTGGTGTGAGATTTCTCAAGATTGTATTTTGCAATTTCAGCTTCCAATTGTGCTGCAACATCTTAGACAACTAATCAGTCATATTCTGCAAGGAGCCACATACCATACCGTTAAGTAAATAGGACTTCAGTTCTTAAATAATTTTATAACTTTTTTTAAATCCTGAAGTTTAGGGTGTTCAGAATTCAAATGACTATTTTATGAATATTTTCTCATCTGGTGAAACAAGCTTATATTGACACAGATCGAAAGGAGTATGTACTTTTTTGTTGTATAAACAAGTATTAGTTTTATGGTTGTCATTGTCTTTTTGAATTCTGAGGGGACAAAGAGGAACTTGGAAGTAAAATCTTTCCCTAGATGATAACTTCTATCTTGAAAGAACTTTCTTCAGAGAGTTCACGTCTTCCCTTGACCTGGGCACACAGGCTTCATTAGGAAAGCTCTGTACACATTATATTTCTCTTGCAGAACCATCAACTTTTCTTATTTTGGACTTTGGACATGGTTCCAAAGCCCATACCCTCTTTACATTTCCAAAACTTTTTTGTTGAATGGAGGAAATGCAGAAATGAAAAAAGAATGCTGCTTTCTGCTCTTAAATTTGAAACTTGGGCGTGCTGATGCCAGTCACGACTCCCCCTTGCCAGGCTTCCAGGGTTGTTAGTTTTCCGCAGTTGCCTTCCTTGTCCAACTTACCACTTTCTTTCTGCTTGTGGCTGATTTGGGGGCTTATTAGGAGGTAGTAGAATTAAGGTCATTGTATAGAACACAGCCAGCCAGTGGCAGCAATTCAGAAGGCAAGTTTCAGGGACCTCATCATCTTTTAAAAGTGAGTAGACACTGGCTGCTCGTGGCAGTCTTTTTAAGAGACCATACAGGATATTCTGCCACTGGTATTAATAACAAATCTATAAACAGGAAGGCATGAGTGTCCATATTTTTGGGGACATAGAAGAAACAGTTCCTGATTGTAGGTGATCATAAAGGCAAATGCCAACTAAAATTAGGCCTCCTGATCTATGATTCATGGGTTTTATTTAGTTAACCCCTGTGGTTCAGGGCATCATAAGGAAGTTGATAAAGAACTGAATTTCCTGATCAGTAGGAAAAACAGAAAATGTCTTAAAGCACAGGATATGTTTTAAAGTGAGGAAGCAGAGTGGAGGAGATGGCACTTGGAGAGGGACAGCTTTATTTTTCAAATGGTCTTCAGAACAGACTAAAAAATTTAGTTTCCTACAATCAGTCTATGTAAGAAGCTTGGGAAGCACCAAGCAAGACTCAGGAACTTGATTCTCCAAAAGAAACACAAGAGGGTAGCTTTACCGGCTGCCTCTGTCTTGACCTCTTGTTCCCAGCACTCCCATTCACCCTCTGTCACATCTCCAACGATGTGTCAGCATGTTTGCTCATGCAGGTGAAAACACAAGAGGAGGCCTCCCACCTCCTGAGTGAAAGAGATGGAACAATACTGGCTGTAAGGCAGCAGGTTTTGAGTCGGACCTCTCACGTAAAATTTGCCATGCAAACTCTTGGTGCAACATCAGCCTGTTGTGTGCATGCACCCAAGAAAGTTTGGCTTTGGTTTTCAGTGTTCGGATTTCACAAATGTCTTTTGCAGAAATCAGACAGCATTTGAAAGGTGCTAGAGAGGCGTCTGTTTGAATTTCTCATGAACCACTGATGTTAATTCATACCGAAGGTAAATCATTCCAAACTAGCTGAGGCTACTTACACCCACATTGTATGCTTTTTTTTTTTTCCAAAACAACAAAAAGGTTTCAATGGAGAATGAGTCTTTGATGTGTCAGGTGTGGGGTGATCTCTAGGAAAGAACCTAAACAAGCAGGATCAGGAGAGAGCAGAAAGTGTTGCTTTGTTTTGGTTCACATTGTGAAAGCTAAATGCCTATGCACAAGGGATGAAGGGTCCACCTACTGAGTGTAAATCACCCCAGAGGGTATCAAATTGTTTTTTATTTACCAGGAGAACAAAGCTGTCATAACACATAAAATGCGAGCAGGGGATGCAGAGAAAGATTTTGAAGTAGAGTAGCCTACACATTGTTGATGGGAAGATCTTCACAAGACAGCAAGGGGCAGGGCAGGGGTGCTGTGCATCTGTCAGCATCTGTGGTGGGTCCTGTGGTTCTTTGCTTTGATCCCTGTGATAAAGGATGATGGAAGCCAAGAGGTCACGAGGCACACACTGTGGAGGGGCGGTTCTACAGCACTTGGCCCCTTGCCCATGTTACTCATCATTAGTTTAAACAGGACTGTCCAACAATATAAACTGACTATGAGTTTGGTAGAGGAGTGAAGAGAGAAGTTTCACATGCTGCATACGGTTTATTATTCTTATGTAAGTAGAGCTATCTGCATATAATGTGATCTAATTTATTGTCATTTTGTGTAGAAAATGAGAATTGATGACTGTGGATATAACTCCTGTTTTGTATAATGTATTTTATTTCTGGTGCAAACTGGTCATTTAAAATATCTCTTTCATTTGGTGTTTGGCTATAAATGTGTATGTGTTCTTGTAAATGTTTCTATTAAGCAAGAATGCCACATCCTTGGAGTATAACAATGTGTTCCCATTAAAAAAGTACATCCCACAGAAACCTTTTCCTGTTTATAATTCAACCAACATACATTGCACATATCCATATTGTTTGAGGACATTCTGTTTTCCCAGACCTAATCTAAGTAAAAGCTCAATTAGTGGGTATGATGCATTGCAGCATTTGAATGATAACCATGAACAGAGGCATGAATTTCTACTCAGTAATGGGCATTTGGCCTAGTGCTTGCGATACCATCTAGGATGCTTGCATTCCCTATTGGAGTACCTTGGGAAGCAGCAATGAAGTGGAGTCCTTGGTTCCCAGCTGCCTACAAGGGAGATTGAATTGAGCTCCTGGCTTTTGGGTTTGATGTGGCTCAGTCCTGGTTGTGATAGGCATCAGGGGAGTGAGCAAGGAAATGGGAGCTCTGGCTGCCTGTGTCTCTCTGCTTGTCAAATAAATCAAAAGAGCTTCTGCTCACGAAAGGGAAATCTGCAGAAACACGAAATCATTTCTAATAGTTATTAAAACAGGAGGCAAATCTTGAACTGGCAGACAAGGGGACACAATCTTCAGCAATAATGCCTTCTTTTTGCGTTTTCAAGTTTGGGAGCACTACATGTGAGTTATCACCACTATGTCTCTTGCCCTCGTTAAAGATACCCTAAATCAATTCTGCCACTCCAGTGAGGACTCTAAGTGCCAAATTCCTAAGCAGGTGGCTCAGCAGTGCCTTCATTGCACCTGTGCTGTAAAACCTGTTGCACTCCAGGTTGCCCCATGTTGGAGCATCAGGTTTGAGTTCCAGCAGCCCCACTTCTGATCTAGCTTCCCACAAAGAGCTTTGGAATACAGAGGCTGGTAGTTCAAGAACGTGAGTGCCTGTCACCCTTGTAGGATTTGGGGAAAGAACCACTCGATGAAAAATCTCTCTCTTCTCCTTCTCTCTGGCACTCTGTCTTTGAAACAAATACACCTTAAAAAGGAAGAAAATTGCTTCACTGTCTTAGACATTATTCATGATTTATCTGAAGCCCAAGAAACACTTGCACGATTGAAGAAATGCCTCCTCTCCCCGCCCAGTTCTACTGCACCAGTAGGGTCCCTGATAACGCTGCAGGTGTTCTGGAATGCAAGAATCACACTGGACCCAAATGTAGATGTTAGGAGTCATCTTTATTTCCCAAGCTTGGTGACAGCAGCTCCCGCTACGCTCCAGGAGCCACTGCGCCTAGCCGCCAAAGTCAGGGGTTTTTAAGCTCTTATCCACCAATCAAATTAAGAGCCATGCAGTACAAAGTTTCAGGTAGGAAGGGAGTTACTGGAGCCCAACTTTTCTTAAAGTTAACTAAGCTTAACCTAGCACAATAGGAGGCAGGAGCGGCCAGGTGCGCGGAACCTTCGGGGTAATTTCCGCTCTGTCAGTTGTGAATGATGCGGAAGGCAGGAGGGGCAGGGTATATTTTTCGTGCCTTGAATTAACTTGAATGGCGCGCTAAACGAAGTAGGAAAGACGGGGAGTTTAGTTTCCGCGTCCAGTCCGATGTCAATTAAGTGGCGCGTGCCATCAATGACAGCGCCCCATTACACAACTGCCATTCCCATTAGGAAGCTCCGTATGGGGAGCTTTAGCAGCGGCTGCTCACAAGCAAAGGGGAACCGTATGGAGGGTGTGGCCAGCCAGGAGGGTGGAGCTGAGGAACCTCCACTAGGAAACAGTGGCGTATTCCCATTACTTTTCCATATCTTCTTTGGGGTCATGACCTCCTTGATTTTTCCCACTCTGTTCTTACCTCTCTTATCACCTTGGACTCCATGCATGTATACCCAACATCCCAAGATAGACCAGTCACCCATGACTACGGCTACTGGGGCTATGTTCTCTCCAGGAGCCCTGGGAGCTCTAAACTCCACTGATTTAGAACTCTGCCTTAACCCTAAATCACGAACTTTTTACAATGACTTAAATGACAGTGGTTACTGTGAAAGATACTGATGGCCAAATGTCTTAAAAAATGGCAACTTCCAAAGGCATCCATTAATTTCAGCAGAAATGTACACACACACACACACACACACTCACACACACTCACACACACACACAGACTGTATTGCACAATCCTTGACAATCATTGGCTGTTGAGTTCTGGAGTGAGGAGGAGGAGAGATTCACTGGCAGGAGTGGGGGATGTGCTCACTGCTTTGTGCCATTTTGCTCCTTTCTCATTTCACAAGAGGGAGCACATCGGGGCCACTCTTCCAGTTTGTGACCTGGCTAGCTCTGCTCCTTGTGGCTATATCTCCTCTCCTAGGTCCATGCACAAGGATGCAAAACCTACCGCAACATTTTATTTCCACTCTTCTTGCCTAGAGAGCTCTTAGCTTTCTAATCAAGTCCATTTTTGAACAGCAGTTCAAATCCTATTTCCATTGTATTGTCTCTGTTCATCCTAACTTCAAAGGAGAGCTACCTTAGCTGCATGCACTGGTCTCAAGGGCATGAAGGAATGGGGTATAGATACGTTTGGGCAATCAGTGGTTAGGAAAACAAATGGAATTTGAATGTGTCTGGATGAGGTCAATTGCTTCTGCTATGCCAGAATCCCTATGCTTCTGGTATTCATATTCCCATGTCTCTTTACTAATTTGTATAAGAACTCAGGGCTTGCAAACCCTAAAATCCTTGCAGCAGCCAGCTGTATAAGCAGGTAGTTTTGTATCATCTCTTCTACTGGTACCTTATTTATCCTCTTGACAGCATAGCTTCCAAGCTGCTGGTCTCTGAAGAAATTTACTTTCTAAAAAAAAATGTTTTATTTTACTTATTTGAAAGGCAGAGTGACAGAGAAAGAGAGGGACAAACAGAAGCAAAGAGATCTTCCACTGTTGGTTCACCACCCAAACGGCTGCAATGGTTAGGGCTGGGCCAGTCTGAAGCCAGGAGCTGGAAACGCCCATCTGAGTCCCCCACATGGGTGGCAGGGGCCCAAGCACTTGGGGTTGTCTTCCAAGATGCATTAGCTGGGAACTGGATCAGATGTGGAGCAGCCAGGACTAGAACTGGCTTTTTGCTATGGGATGCTGTCATTAAAAGTGGTGGCTTAATTCACTGTTTCACACACTTGACATTGTAGATTTATCTTTCTTCCTTTGGCTTCCCTGTCAAGAACTGTTTCCAAAATAAAATATTGCCTGCACTGGGGAATTATAACTCAAGGAAACTCCATAGTGCTTCTGTAGTGTTCACTCTCACTCCATAATGTCTTTCTCTTTTTATTTATTTTTTAAAAAAACTGGAATATTCTTGAGTCTGGTGCCTTAGACCGCTCGTCCATCCTGACACATTAAATTGGAATATTCTTTAATGGCTTCCCACAAGAAGAACTCTAGTGTGCCCATCTCGGCTGTTTTATTCTCTTGGTTTCCACATGCAGAGACTTTCAGAGCCTTCCAGAAGTTTCCTTTTTGTGCAATCAGGAGAAGAATACACAGTTTAGAGGGTTTTCAAGTGGGGCCTGGTATGCACCAGGGGCCCAGTAAACAGGAGTCATTAATTTACACAAGACAAATTTTTACCTGATACCTTGGATTCTTGGGCTCCTGGTGTCAGCACTGGTCCATAACTGGGGCCCTGAGGACTTATGTGTGACCCTATAACAGGTGTAATGTCTTTCCAATCTTAATTGTTAGTTCTTGGATGAGGCCATAGATGAGGCATACCCAGGATTGCGGGGGGGAGGGGTGCTCCTGGCTCCGAGCTCAAGTGGATGGCCTGGACTTGACAAGAGGTGGTGATCTAAGCCCTGTACCACACACAATCCTCATTAAAATCCCTGAGGCAGGCACTGTGGTCATCACTGAGACACATAGTGGTTTGACAACTTGCCCTGATCCACCCATCCAGGAAATGACAGGGACAGGGTATGACAGAGGAGAATCTTGCCCATACCCCAAGTGCCCATGTCTCTGAAATAGACAGTAGTACTTTCAGTGCTTTCACTCAAGTGTGCCCAGAGGACCCTCTAGTGTCCCTGTCATCCTGTGTCTTTTATACATGCATAGTCATCAGAAAAGAGTGACTTTACAGGACAAGTTAGATTGCAGTTCAGGAATTTCCCAAAATTCGCCTATAGACTGGGATCCATCCAATAAGTTTTACCCATCTGTGCTGAAATAAAAACAAAAATTAGTAGTTTTCTCCTATCTATAGGGGTATGTTCCAAGACCACTAATCAATGTCTGAATCTCGGACAGCACCTAACCTTATTTATAGATGCTGCAATGACCAAGTTGGCTGCTAATGGGCAGGTAGCATATACAGTGTGGATAATCTGTTCAAAGGAATGAGTCACACTACAGAGGACAAATAGGATAGCATGAGCTTCAACCCATTACTCAGAATGTACACAATTTAAAATCTATTCACTATTTGTGGAATATTCCTTGTAATATCATTGGACTGTGATTGGCCTGGGGTAGCTGACACCTCAGGAAGCAAAGGAGATGAATGTACAAGGAAAATGTTCACAAACATAAGTATGAAATATCAACATTTAAGGCAATAATTCTTCTGTCTGAGGTTATGATTTATGTATGAGTTATGAAATATCTTTTACCACATGGTAGTGATAGTGGCTTTTTTCTTTTGTTTCTTTAGTGAACAAAACAAACGTCATCAGACTTCAAAAGAATCTTTTTGACAGGGTTGAAATTCTAGAAATCTGTGAATTGGATATCATTTTTGAGTCTGTAGTCTGATGGAATTATATATTGTCTGCTTGCTTATTTATAATGACATGAGCTATATCTTTTAAAAATAGTTTATTTGAAAGACAGAGTTGAGAAAGAGAGAAGGAGAAACAGAGAAGTCTTCCATCCATTGGTTCAACTCTTCAGATGGTTGTGGTGACCAGGTCTGGGCCAGGCCAAAGCCAGGAGCCAGGAACTCTGTCAGGAGCTCCCTGACAACTTGCAGAGACCTCAGTAATCGGGTCATCTTCTTCCCAGATGCATTGGCAGGGAGCTGTATAAGAAGTGGATCTACCACAGCTTG